CTGCCTCCAGCTCCGTAATCCCTAAGCATCCAGACTGTCCGTACCCAAGACATCCCTCTCCACGGCAGATCACAAAGAGCCCTGACCGCCCTCCCTACTCCCCAGAGCTCATTATCTATCCATTTCTCCAAGCCGGAGAGAGCCTTGGGATTGCAGACGGCGACCCAAAGCAAGCAGCTAAGGGCCTGGATGTCCTGATGAGTCCATCATAAATGTTTCTTCACACAACAGGAACATGAAATTCGATTTGTTCTGAGAATGAAGAAGATCTTGATTTTCCATCATCGGGTGAGGTCATGGGAGGGAAAGGATGCTCCAACTACCGTTGCACCAACCATTCATAATTAGATCAGGGGAATGGACTTAAAAACCATAAGATGGTTCACACACAGATGGTCCCTGGCTTACAATGGTTGGATTGAATGATTTTTTTTTTGACTCCATGATAGCATAAAGCATACCCACTTTTACTTTTAGTAGAGCATGCAAGAAAATGAATGAGCTAGTCAGCACTTTACTATATTACAAATCAGATTTATTTATTTATTTATTTTTTTGTGGTGGGTGACTTATTTGTGTTTATCCATTTATTTTGAGACAGAGTCTGACTTTGTAGCCCAGACTAGCCTTGATCTGACTGTGATTCTCCCGTCTATGCCTCCTGAGTGCTGGGATTACAGATGTGTGCTACCTCACTCGGCTTGTCGGATAATGTCCCCACACCGTGAGCCAGTGTACATGTGCTGGGTATGTTGAACATGGGCAAGGATTAACTATAATGTTTGGGAAATGAGATACAGTGGCTGCATTTTGACTTAGGTATATTTAACTGTGATGAGTTTCTAAGTGGCCAAAGCCGCGTTGTAAACTGAAGAAGAACGTCTATGTTTTATCTTGCCAAGGGGTTGTTTTTTCATTCCCATTTCTGAACAAGTTATGATCAAGAATTGAGGTTGCACAGGTCGTTACAGGACCGGGGCTGAAGTCAGTCTACTCCACACTCTGGCCATTTTCCTCTCATACTTGATACTATTTTCAAAACTTTACGTTAACGACCTCCTAATTCTAACAATTCTAAATTGTTATAATGATTTCACATGTTACATTACAAATAATTTAACCTAAAATGCTTCACTACAAACAGTGGCACTGTGTGATTATTATGGGCAGAGAAGGTCATTTCAGAGCATATCTTCCTAGACTTGAATGGATAAGGGGCTGGGCAACCAGGGTGGCTTAGATTCTGATGGTGTCCAGTCCTCATGCCTATCTGCTGTGGGAGTCAGAAATAAGAAGATGGTGCCCTCATCTTTTAGAAATTGACCATTAGGCCCCATTTTGTGGACTAATAGCATCCACACTGATTGGTCAAGACAGACTCCAAAATATCCCTTCATCTTAGCACGATCAGAAGTGAGTGCCAAGTAAGCTGGGCAAAACGGATCTTAGGCCGGCAGGATTTTGCTTTAGAATGTATTTTTATACACCTTCAGATTTCATGTGTTAGAGGCAAATCTCTGTGTGATGATATCTGGGAGGTAAGGCCATGTGTGGGCGTGATTATAGCTTAAGGATGGAGCAAAAAGGCTTCCAAGAACATCTCTGTCACATAAGGTTAAACACACACACACACACACACACACACACACACACACACACACAAAGCCTATCTATGAAGCAGATGAGAGCCTTCACCGAACACTGAAACTTCCAGGGCCTTTATCCCAGGCTTCACAACCTCCAGCCTGTGAGAAACACATTTCTGTTGTTTATAAGCCAGCTACTTGATGGCATTTTGTTTTAACAACCCAGACAGACCAAGACATATCTGAAGGAGCAAGACTCGACTTCATCAAACAAGAGCTAAGTAAGGACTGGATGGCACAGAGGAACGCTGTGCATCTCACGTTGTTTAATCCCTACAAGGTCTTCTGAGGTTGTCCATCCCCACAACTGATGATTAACAATCAATGACGTGACTTGTGGAAGTCACGCAGAGGCACATGCATCGTATCCCTACTGTCCCCAGACAACTTCAGCCATTCCTATCCTCCCTTAAAATTGAGCCCCCGTATTCATTTTCTGATGAAGAAAATACACTACTTAAAATTTTAAAAGCACAAGCAATGAACTTTTTATCATCCACCGCCTCCGGCAGGAAGTGGATGCCAGTGGGGGACGTGGAAGGTCAGAGCTGCCAAGAATGGAGGCAAAGGACATAAACGCCTCATACGCCGCTGTGGCTGTCATGTGCACAGGAGGGTGGGGGTGGGGGTGGGGGAGGGGGTGGGGGTGGGGGGGTGGGGGAAGCACTGTCTAATGCTGACCCAGCATTCTTTCATCCACACCCACTCAGAGTCTGCTCTGTGCCAGGCACTAGGTTGAGGTACAGCAATGAGGTGACTGAGGTTAAGAACCGTGCCTTCCAGAACTCAATCTGGAGAGGAAGCTAGAGATCTGAAAAAAACAAAACAAAACAAAAAACCCCAGTAATATCCTGAAAACCACACTACAGGCCTCTGGAGATACCAGCACTGGCGGGGGCAGGGGGTGGGAGTTGACTCCCTACGAGGATTAGAGGACACTTCCCAGAAGTGTCTTTTGTGCTGGCATCTCAAAGGATAAGGAGGAATTCTTCTGGCAGAGACAGGAAGAGCCCTCTCTAAACAGAGTAAATTTCCATAGGGATGGAGGTCAGAGAGGCCGTGGTGGTGGCTTGGGCTGATAGGGAAGGTAGTGATCTGGCTGAAGTGGGGATGGGGGGTGGGGAGATGGGGGGAATGGGTGGTGGTAGTGACTGGGAAATGGTGTCTGAGAGGCCGGTGGGGATCTGAGTCGGCCAACAAGTCTGGCTGCATTCTCTCCATGGAAGGCAGCTCAAAGCTTTAGGTGGGAAGTGACAAGGTCTAGGCTGAGATCATATTTATAGCCTTGGGTGACAGAGAAAACCACACAGGCCAGCTGTTATCAACTCGACTGGGAATGACCTTTGCCTCCCAGAGGCCTTTGGTGATCCTCCTGTCTAGTGCTACATTTCACAGGTGACGAATCAAGGCCTAGAAAGGTTAGGAGAAGTGCACAAAGCTATCCAGTTGGGGAATAGCAGAACTGGGACTCGGGTCAAGCATCTTCTACACTTTCCCAAGCATCTTTTACACTTCTCTTTCTACCAAGAGAAAAAGAAAAAAAGCGGAGCGCCTCCACTGGCAGCTTCCAGAACATTCCACCACAAACACGGGAAAGCAGCATTAGGAATCGGGCTTACATCTCCTGTCCCAGTGCTTGGAGAGATGCTGTGATGGTTACTCTGTCAATTTGATGGGACTTAGAGACATTTGTAGACAAACCGATGGGCGTGTCTGGGAGGGTCTTTGTAGACTAGGTTGGCTGAGGTGGGAAGACCTTTTTTTAATGATGGACAAAATAAAATGCAGAAAGTGACCGGAACACTGGCAATCACCCCTCTCTCTCTCTCTCTGCTCCGACTATGGATGTCATGTGACCAGCCGACGCAAGCTCCTGGCCATGTGACTTCTTCACCAGGATGCACAGCACACACCCGAACTGTGAGTCGAGACAGAATCATTGCTTCATCAAGTTGCTTTTTCGTTGGTGTGTTTTGGTCTAACAACAAGATAAGCAATGAATCGAGTTGAAGGTGTTGGGGAGAGGGGACCCTGTAAGTCTGTGGCTGGACTGGGCTGTCTCGACCACCCCTTAAACCAGCCAACCAAAACAAACACAAACTGGGTAGAAGACAAAGCTCTTACTTTATGCTAGTCTGGGATTCCTGCTATCACACACGCCTTGTAACTAGTAAAGGTGATGTTGTAGAGTTACAGCTGAACACACTCCCTGGAGAACTGAGTGAAGGTACGGGGCGACTTTCTAAATCCATCAAAGGAATCAAATCTTGCCAGCGATGGCACAGAGGCAGAAGTGACCTGAGCTCAATCTCTGGAAGCCACGTAAGAGGATAGAAGTGACTCTCACAAGCTGTCCTTGGACACAAGTGCGCTCTCCTCCCTCTCCCCCCCCCCTCTCACACACACACACAGTATAAAAGTGAAATGTTTGATAACCCGCCCACCCAACTATCTACATTGCTGAGACACATAGGAAAGACCTTTGTGAGCAGCTTGGACCGGTCTGTTCTGGACCGGTCTGTTCTGTTCCGGTCTCTACTGGAGTCTTACTATCTTGAAGGAAATCCTGGCAGGAAAACATTTTTCTCCACAGATCCCCACCCGCTGTGCTAATGCTCAGAGACTTTAGCCCCCAAAGTAGCTTGGGACTTGGAGGGGCGGGGGCCCAAGTTACTTTTATCTGAGGCTCACTTCTTCTTTGCCCAACATCTTCTTTCAGGAATTTGCGGACAAGGAAGACAGTTTCATTCTGCTTTCCATAAAACTTCGATTTTTAAGGGGAGCGGGGGTCTCCTAAGCCCTCCACTCTTTCACCCCCAGGAGGATCGTCTACAGGAGAATTTATCTTCAAGGTAGAAACAGGTTTTTCGACACCTGCATGGTTCTCAAGGGTCCTGAGCCTTCCTGTCTGAGTGTGAAGGTGTGCCATGCCATCGGGGAGATCTCAGCTGCTCCTTCTGGTGATGTGATCGACGACGGCGAGACCTGCTGGAGCTCAACTGATGAGGTGCAGGCCAAGGGAGGAGTCCTGCACTTTTCAGAATGACCCTGCTGTGTTATGCACACTGACCCGACGGGAGAGGCAGAGCATGCTGAGTGCCGTTGGCTGCAGGTGGGAGAAGAGTCAGCCGCAATAATGAATGCACGGAGGTGGAGTGTGGTGTCGTCACACGCAGAGCCAGGAGGTGTGATCCAGAAGGTGTGTGTGGGGGAGTTAATACCATATGTCGTTTGGCTGTGGTGGGGCTGGCTGCTTTCATGTCACAACAACGTGTTCCTCTCAAAAGGCTCCAACACCGCCCCCACCCCCACCCCCAACACCACTACCCTCTGCCAGACCCACATGCCTCTTACCAGGTACTGAAGTCGCTGGCGCTCGGTCTCGGGGGTGAATTCCGAAGACATGGGGATGATTTCTCCATTTCTGACGATTATGGCCCTGCAATGGGAAAAATGCATCAGCGGCCGACAAATTCAGAAAGCCTCTGTGACAACCACCGACAGGCCATGCAAGATGTCCTCTCCTCCCCCATACCCGCCCAGCGGGTTCACTAATACCATCTCTGGATCCCTTGCCTTAATGCCCTGGCAACAAGTACCCAACTCTACATATATAATAAATGGCCAGGGATTAAATGGGTGAAGGAACAAATGAATGTCGCCACAGTTCTCCCTCTGACCCAAAGTTGGTCCAGTGGAACCTTCTGTGAGCACAGTAACGTTCTTTCCATAGTCCAACAGGGCTGCCCCCAGCGCCGTGTGCATACTGAGCATTTGATCTGTGGCTAACCTGCGGCCTGGGGACAGCATTTATAATGCCATTTAGCCTAAAGAAGTCTGAGGTGGCTAGAATCTAACATACTGGACCATGCGAAGCTAGACTCTTGGGAACTCCAAGGATCAGTGCACCGCAGCACTGGCCTCACTTGGGTGCATGGAGGAAATGCAGAGTCCGAGGTTCTACTTCAGGCTTTTTTTTTTTTTTTTTTTTTTTTTTGAGACAGGGTTTCTCTGTGTAGCTTTGCGCCTTTCCTGGATCTCACTCTGTAACCCAGGCTGGCCTCGAACTCACAGAGATCCACCTGGCTCTGCCTCCCGAGTGCTGGGATTAAAGGCGTGCGCCACCAACGCCCGGCTACTCCAGGCTTCTTGTCGGAACCGTCATAGTTATTAGATTCCCAAGAGGGTTCACAAGCATGTTAGGAGCTGGACACTTCTGGCCTAGAGTTTCTAGGTTTATAACCTGGGGTCTAGAAAAAGCTGCTTTTACCATCTTAAGGCTCATAAAATTCACATATTCCAAAAAAAATCCGCCCAAGAGCTACTGTCCACTCAAGAACTAGAGAGCACACAGCCTATCTTCACCCCCACCCCACACCCCTCTTGGGTGTGTGTGTCAAATGACCCTTTCACAGGGGTCATATATCAGATATCCTGCATATCCCATATTTGCATTATGATTCCTAACAGCAGCGAAATTATGGCTATGAAGTAGCAACGAAATAATTTTTATGGTTGGGGGGTCACCACAACATGAGGGACTGAATTAAAGGGTTGCAGCATTTAGGAAGGCTGAGAACCACCGGTCTGTAAGATCTCTACGGGACAGGCCATTGTTCGGAAGCCACTGGTAGCATCTGATTCCAACCTTGGCTCTTAGGACCTCCTCTTTCTAGATTCTTCCTTACATCTCTCCTCCGACTCTAGGGATAGCTCTTACCCCACAGACAATCTCCTTTCCTTGCTCTTCGCCCTAAGGCTGGGTCAGACCTCTCCTTTCATGTCCTTTTTGGCCTGCAATACATCTCTGTACAAAAGATATCACATTTATAACCCTGGCTATCTTCCACGCCAGCCTGTAAGTTCCTATAACAATCATGCCTGACGTCACCAAGGTTCTATTTTTTTTTTTTTTTTTTTTTCCAGACAGGGTTTCTCTGTGTAGCTTTGCGCCTTTCCTGGAACTCACTTGGTAGCCCAGGCTGGCCTCGAACTCACAGAGA